GTTCGTGCTCCGTCGCTGCCCGCCCGCGCCGTTCCCCACAATGGCCAAGTCTACTCTACGCCGAATGCCGTTCTCATCCACCTCCCACAAAAGGTTCTCATCGAAGTCRATSCCCRCRTCGAGGAGGATGTTGTGGAGAGTGCAGACGGCCACAAATTGTTGTGGCAAGGTCTCTAGGTTCGTCTTGTGGGTGCGCAAGAACAGACGCCACATGCACTTCAGTCGCCCAAATGCCCTCTCCACACACCCACGCGCCATCTTCTGCCGCGTGTCGAAGCGCTCCTCGTCAGGATCTTGGTCAATTCCTCCGTACGGCTGCACGATCCATGGACAGGCAACTGGATAACCGTTGTCGCCCAGCAGGTAACCTCGCGTGACGACAACGTGCGGCAGATTCTCCGGAGGTGCGTCGAACAGCTCGCCAGCTTCTGCACGCCTCCACAACTGGGAATTATATAGGACACGGACATCATGCACACTTCCCGGGTATCCGATGTGGACGTCGAGGATCCGCAGATCCAAATCCACCACCACCTGCGCCTGCACGGAGAACTTCTATTTGCGGTCGTAGTAGTTGTCCGAAGGTGCATCAGCGGGCTTGTCAATGTAGATGTGTGTACAGTCGATTGCGCCGAAGCAGTTCTGGAAACCCTTGTCACGGAATGCGCACAGAATCTGCGCATGTCTACGCCCAACCGGCCACTTGATCGCGTCAGGGTACGCTTGCAGCAGCGCCGAAGTGACGTCGCGGACGACCTGCAGTCCAATTGCCCTGCCGATGCCGAAGGCTGACGTGCCGCTCTCGTACGCCTCTCTTGACGCCCACCTGTACAACGCGAAAGCGATCACCTGGTCCACTGGCAATGGCATCCTATAGTGCGTCACCTTCTTCTCCACGTACGCGGCGCATGCGGCTACGATCTGCCTGAACATGGCCATCGACATGCGCAACTTCTGCCGGTAGTACTCGTCTGTCGCGTTATCACAGAGGCGGAGATCCTCCCATGTTCCGCCACTCCGTCGTTTAATCCACCAACGCGGGGTCTGCCGCGAGAAAACGCCAGATGACAGCGCGGCTTACAACTGGACGATTGCCTCACACGTGGCCATGCAATCCGGTGCTTCGGCAATGCGCTGCAACAGCGCTCTTTGTTTTCGGAGCTGCGTCGGCATGTCGCTTGAGGACGACGACATGCCGCCCATTGTGTTCACGACGACGGCAGTAACCGCCATCGCCACCGCGTCGATCTCCTCTTTGCGTAGACCGTGCCCGCTGCCACGAACGTCCATCTCTGGGAATCGTTCTGCCCCCACAGCGTGACGCCTGCCACAGCCGCTGAAGACACGCCCGCTGCTGAACCAAGCGAAGAGAGACCACGCATGCCGGACCCGTAGATGCGCCCGCTGCCGTACGCTGCAACAGGAGATGGCGTACGCCGGAGTCGACGACACGCCCGCTGCTCTACGCTTGCACATGACAGCACACACGGCGGAGGTGAAGATGCGCCTTGCCGGAAGTTGCCCCCGCCGGTCACAACTTGCGTGGAGTCGGAAGATGGATACCCGCGCCAAATGGTTCGCCAGCGCCGTCTTCTGTACGTCGCACACTTCGCCTGGCCGTCCTCCGCCCCTGCAGCCTTGCGTCCGCGAGAATTCGAATTTGAATTTTTGAAGTTCGGGGTGACCGCGCTTTTCACCCACCCCTCCTCACCCGCCCAAGGCCTCCGCAGTGTGTACCACGGACACCAGACAGGACCCGGCGGACATCGGTGACGCGGCTGCGTATACGAATATGARAACRGGCCGCGRGAGACCYTTTAGGACRAATCCTAAAAGATGATTTTTAGGACTGCGTGTAACGACGCCGCACGAAATCCTAAAAAACCTTTAGGACTCGTCCTAAAAATTTTAGGATTCTTTTAGGAGTGTCTAACGAGACCCAAAGGATGGCAAGAAAAGACGTTGGCTCACGCATGCCAAGCGGGAAGCCATCTTGCGTAGTTGAGCAAGAATTCGAACATGGTCGCACGCGCTCATACCAAGCAAAAAAGTAAAAACTATGTCAATTGAATTTGTAATCATTTTCTTGAAGTTCCGGAGCGTTTTTTTTTTTTTTTGTTTTTTTTTTTTTTAACTCTACTCTTCTCTCAATTTTTCCTCACACTACCTACCTACCACTACTCATACCTATAGACATACGGGGAAACCCGTAGCATACCAGATCCGTGTTTTATTTATAGGCCGTTATTTATAGGCCATGCACAGGGGTACAACTCAAAGATGTAAATCCAAAAAGGCATTTCCCCGACTTCTGAAACTTCAGAGGGGGAAGGCCGGAACCCATCTCTGATCGAGGAGGGGCTGGCGGCGAAGGGGCCCGGTAGTGCTATTCCGCTGTGCTAATTCCCAGCGGTTCCAAGTGCGAGCGCTTTCGCCAGCACCAGCACTATCCGTCGTGGTTTCCGGTACTACGGAGGCGGGAAATCTGTGAAGGAATCAGCTTTCGTTCGTAGGTCTCTCCCGACTGTGTTTCCTCGCCATGGCCAAGCAAGCCTAGCAAGCCATAGCCAGTAGGCTACCAGGCATGACGTCTTGCCCAAGGCATATTCTCCTCTCACACGCAGGTATCCAAGCTCCTCTCTCCTCCCCCTCTCCCTAACTCTTACGCTGTGATCTCACTTCCCCAACTACGCTCCTCTCTCCTCCCCCTCTCCCCAACTCTTACGATAATCTTCCTCGAATAAGTATGATAAAACTCTTGATTTGAGGGAGGAATCTTACCGTTGGCGGAGTAGGTTTTTCACCATGGGCAAGTCTCCTGAATGCTCTCACCATAGCTACGTTGGCTAGCAAGGAGGAAGGCTGCTGCCTTAGCACAACGAAGGCATGACAGGCACATGCGCCAACAAGGAAGATGGGATGTGCATGGGCACAGAGAAGAAGAAACTTTGGGTATCAGGGACATGCGGCTGCTTTCTCTCCAAGAGCGACTCAGCCCTCACTGGTTAACTCGAAGGGCATTCCTATCTCTTCGTAGGGTAACTGGGAGGGAAGGAGAAGCAATAAGGAGCGGAGGTGGCTAGAAGTATCCGGAGGAGGTGTTCACTGTGGGCATTTTCACTCAGGCCTAAGCTATGTTGGCCACCAAAGATGGATGCTGGGGCCGATACATAACGTAGACAGGGCAAACACGTATACCAACAAGGAAGAAAGGTTGGCAGTGCAGAGACACAATGCAGAGGAAACTTTGGCTATCAGTGGCAAGTGATTGCTCCCTCACCGACCTCTGCACAACCCTCGCTGGTTAATTCCGGAGATAATAACTATACCTTCGGATAGCAACTGAGAGGGAATGAGCTACACCGAGGAGCGGAGGTAGGCAGAGGTATCCAGAGCCAGAGTACTTCGGCATTTCAAGACCAAGTCGACCGGAGGACAGTACTTCAGGCGCCAAGTCCAGCAGTTTCTCCATCGCTTCAAGCGTCACAGGGCAGTTCTGTTGGAGACTAGACAAGTGAGGAAGAACAGGACTACAGCTCATACTCGTACTCTTATACGGTCCTCACATCCTTACACAGCCTACGCGGTCAAGTAATCTCCCCTCCTCTCATACCTCCTCAAATCCTCATCACACTCGAGGGTTAGCGAGAAAAGTAGAGGAAAGGAAATTCTGAATCTAAGCTGCGTTTGGTTATGCAACAGCAATCAGAGAAAAGTGGGGTAAGATCCAATATCCCTAGCTTGTTACTCTCTCACCTGGGAAATGATATCCCCGAGTTCAGAATGAGCAGGGAATAAGCTTGATTACGTATTTTGTGAGCTGATCGGCCAGTCGGTTCGTTCACAGATCCCCTCTTTCTCTTAGATTGGCTGTAGCAGTTAAATAGTGAGAATTCCAGGCAGTCGTTGGGGATCTAGATACTGAGCTCATCTAAAGATCCACAGGGCAGACTGAGTTCTCTCCAAATCAGCTCCTCAACTGCATGCACGAGCACATGAATTCCCCTGTAATCTATACATTAGGAAAAGGGAACTGCTCATAGGAAGGAATTTAATATTTGGGGACAATTCTGGGAAACTGCCCGCGATGTAACCGAGATTAACGAGCGAAATAGATCGGCCTTCTCTCTGGACTTTGGCACCCACTTGGCCCGTACAGAATCGTCAG